GGCGCCTTAGCCGGTTGAGCCATGGGCGCCGAGCCGAGATATTTAGATATTTAGAACTTAAAGTTAGACTCACATCACATATAATGAAATCTCAAAGGGGTGGCACCTGTGGCTCAAGGAGTAGGGCGCCGGCCCCATATGCCGGAGGTAGCGGGTTCAAACTCAGCCCCGGCCAAAAACTGCAACAACAAAAAAAGAAATCTCAAAGAACAAAGGATAACAAGGCCTAAATCCTGCCATCATCACAACAGAGAAAATGGTGCCACCCACCTGTAGTGCAGGAAGACGACTTAGCTGGCTGGGAATTACTTTTAATGAGATCATTCCTTTTGTTTCTTTCTATTAAAAAAAGAAAAGGTAAATAAAATTCTAAGGAAAACTAACTTGGGTGATTTGAGGTTTCATAAAGTCATTTCCCACTCAAGGCCCCAGGGTTTTTCCCGATCGGCCATCTTTACATTTTGAGATTTTTGCAGGGAAATACTTCCTTTTTTTTTTTCAGGGACAGAGTCTCACTTTATTGCCCCCAGTAGAGTGCCATGGTATCACAGCTCACAGCAACCTCCAGTTCTTGGGCTTAGGTGATTCTCTTGCCTCAGCCTCCCAAATAGCTTTGACAATAGGTGCCCACCACAACACCCAGCTATTTTTTTGTTACATAATTTCCCTCTTGGCACTGCTTTATTGGCATTCCACAAATTATGAATGTTGTGTTTTCATTTATATTCACTTATAGATATATTCTAATTTCCTTTGTAATTTCTTCTGTGATCTATGGGTTATTTTTGAAATGTGCTCTTCAATTTCTAAATATTTAGGGATTTTGCAAGCATCTTCCTGGTTTTGATTATTTATTTATTTATTTATTTATAGACAGAGTCTCACTTTTTTGTCCTCAGTAGAGTGCTGTAGCATCATAGCTCACAGCAACTTCCAACTATTGGGCTGAAGCGATTCTCTTGCCCCAGCCTCCCAAATAGCTGGGACTATAGGTACCTACCACAATACCCAGCTATTTTTTAGAGACGAGGTCTCGCTCTGGCTCAGGCTGGTCTCAAAACTGTGAGCTCAGGCAATTCACCCATCTTGGCCTCTCAGAGTGCTAGGATTACAGATGAGAGCCATTTCACTTGGCTTTGATTTCTAATTTAATTTCACTGTGGTCAAACAATCCACTTGGTATGGCATGAATCATTTTAAATCTGTTAAAACTTCTTCTATGACCTAACACATGGTCCATCCTGGAGGATGTATATTTCTTTTTTTTTTTTTTTTTTTTTTGA